TCTGGGGTGGTTTCTGATCCCAAAAACTGCCAAACAACCCCGCTCTGGACTTCTCCAGCCTTCAGCTGGCTGAGGGCAAACCCTGTGGGGCTGAGAGCCCTGTGCTGTGGGAGGAGGTGGGCACCATTCCCCGGGGCCCCTGTTCGTGGCGGAAAATGAGCAAGTGTCTGTGTTTTCACGTGCCTTTTCATCCTGCGCCTCTCCCACAACAGCCTTCAGTTACAGAAAAGCTCCACCTCCCATCCCTCCAGGAACCAAAGCCAAACCCCTCATCTCTGTCACGGCGCAGAGCAGCACCGAGTCCACCCACGAGAGTTACCTGCCCAGCGAAGTTTCCCGCAGCCCCGCCTGGTCCAAAGACGCCAAGGCCCGCTGCAACTCTGCCGAGAGCCTGGAGAGCTCCAAGGTGACGGCCGTGGCCCTGGACCTGCCCCCGGTGCAGCCCCGCGCCGCTCCCAAGCCCTCCACCCTCATCATCAAGGCCATCCCCGGCCGGGAGGAGCTGCGGAGCTTGGCAAGGCAGCGCAAGTGGCGCCCGTCCATCGGCGTCCAGGTGGGCTCCGCTCGTCCCCGTGGGCTGCCCGAGCTGGTGTGGGCGATGCTGAGCCTCGGGGCTGCACCCGGGGCTGGCCTCCAGCGCTCTCCCTATGCCCCTTACCAGGTTGAGGCCGCCTCCGACTCGGACACAGAGAGCCGGAGCCAGAGGGAGTTCCACTCCATCGGGGTGCAGGTGGAGGAGGACAAAAGGTACCGCATGGCTGGACTGGGCTGAGACCTGCCACACTCACTGCACAGGGGCATTGGGTCCCCAGGGGCTTCCTGAGCTCCACATACCACCAGTGCCCCGCAGCATCTTTTCCCTCTCTCCTCTGGCTGAGACCCCCAGACCTCAGCACCGTCCCCATCCTATACCAGCTGCCCCTATCTGGGGCAGAATCTGACTTCCCCTTTGTCCTTGCTGCTGCCCAGGGAAGGGTCTGCCTTGTTCCCACCCTGTGCTGGGTCTCCTCCGTTGGGCTCAGCCCTGGGTTTTGAGCCCGGGCCAGGTGCAGATGAACCTGTGGGTGATTCTTCAGCTAACCCTGACATTTTGGCTGGGGTGGGAATGCCAGGTGCGCCAGGACCTGCACGGCCTGCGGGAGCGGAGCTCAGGCATCGTGCCCACGCAGCCCGTGCAGTGCAGGCTCCTCTCCATCCTCGGTCCAGCGCCAGTAGCCATGGAAACGGGCTAAGAGCAGGGGAGATGAGGGACTGGCGGGTTGCAGCTGCTCCGGGTTGTCCCCAGGGGCCTTGAGCGCTCCGGGATCCAGACCAGCATCCCCAGCCCCCATCCTGCGTGTGGGCATCCCTCACCCTGCTCCTGCCCACTGCAGTACCCAGCGAGGGAATGGGACAGTGGGGATGTCCCCCGTGGCCGTGAGGGTCCCCCGTGGCCGTGAGGGTCCCC